GAGGGACAAATTCGTGGCGCCTGGGGAAGTAATGATAGACTGAGACATTCTGCATATCGTGTAATGCCTTCCAAGCATCTCTGGCTGACTTTTTGTTCTTTATTAGATCAAACGCCTTTGCATCACATGAAATCTTAATGGCATGTAGAGCTAAAGCATTCTTTTTATTCCACACCCTCTCATTTATTTCTTCAGTTGTCGGGATTGGTTCAATAACATCCCAAACATCTTGAGCCGCTAAGTAGTTTTCTATTAAAATGCTCCACCTTTCATAATTATATTCTCCAAGAACTTCTGGTACAATCGTGTTCGGAGGCAGAGTAGCTATTTCCATGTTAGCCTATGAAATATTTCACCATGCATAAAATTAATTAACTTCAGCACTATTTTCTTTTTGCAGAAGAATTTCAAATTTCCGAAAAGAAAAGGGACAATAAGCAGCATGGCATACGTGATGATAGAAAAACTGATGCCAACATATGTAAAGGGGCTCTCAATCTCGTTAACGAAAAGAACAAAGTTATCCACATCTTTTATACATACAGACCAAACTAGTTAACCATACTTACAAACTCGATAATCGGATGATAATATTTGAGACGGGCCTATAAGTATATACTTGATAGAGTTGCTGGGAGGAAATTCAGGATAGCTGTTAAGGATAAATCAACTCTAACGAGAATGAATTGCCTTTATATAATATCTGTACTATTACTTTATATATCTTAGTGGAGTTTAACTTTCTACTTGTACGTTTGATCTTTTTTTTATTGAAATTTTTTAATCCATATCCTTAAAATATAAATTAAGCCTTATTTATTGTAATATTTATAATTAATTTTACATAAAATTTTATACAAAATTCAAGTACAATATAATATAATATAATATTTTATCTCAAAATCTACAAAAAATTATGAATTTAATATAAAAATTTATATAAAATTAATTAAAATATTTTAATTAATAAATTTTAATATGTACCTTTAAAATACAAATTAAATAAACTCTTTCTTATTTTTCCAATTAGTGGAGTTTTAACCCTCCACTCATCTATTTTTTGATCTTCTTTTATTTCCCCCAATTAGCGCTAAAGCACATGGATGATAGCGTCATTGCACTATTAAAAAAAGCTTTATTTTGAATAAAATATTTCGCACAAGAAAATATCTTGACCGAAAAAAAGATTTAATTCGGTCAAATATTTTAATCGAAATATACTTCAGTTTGATTAAAAGATATTTAACATAATAATTCGGTCTAAAATTATTTCGGTCAAATAAAGAGCGCCAATAGGCGCTATCGTTAATTACGTCAAGTATTTTATCCGAATTATATTAATTTTAAAATAGTAAACATTCGGTCATAAATTTTGACCAAATTAATTAAGTAATTTTTGTTTTAATTTAGCTACATTTTTCGGTCAAAACTTTTGATTGAAATAATTGTCTCCTTTTTTTAAAAAAAATTGTATTAGTATGATGGCTTCTTTTTTAAAATTTGTTTAATTTTCTATGAAATTATTTCGGTCAAGCATTTTGACTGAAATGATTGTCTCCTTTTTTTTTAAAATTCTATTAATATGATGCTTTCTTTTTGTAAATTTTTTAAATTTTCTATGAAACTATCCCGGTCAAGAGACTTGACCGAAATAACTATCTTCCTTTTATTTAAAAATTTTTTTTATAGAAAATTACTATGACGCTTTCTTTCCTAAATTTTTTTAATTTTCTATGATATTATTTCGGTTAAACATATTGACCGAAATAACTCTCTCCTTTTTTTTTTAATTGTATTAGTATTGCATTGTCTTTCTTAAATTTTTTTTTAAAATTTTCTATAAAACTATTTTGGTCAAGCATCTTGACCGAAATAATTGTCTCTTTTTTTCAATTATATTATTATGGCGCTTTCTTTCGTAAAATTTTTTAATTTTCTAAGAAACTATTTCAGTCAAGAATTTTGACCCAAATTATATTGTTTTGGCTCCAAGAATGAAGTGAAATTTTTTAAATTTTTAGCCAAAATTATTTTGGTCAATATTTTTATTCAAAATTAATGTTTTGACTCCACAAATCAAGTGAAACATTTTGAATTGTCCGCCAAAACTATTTCGGTCAAAATTTTTGACCGAAATAGTCTAAACACTTTAGGCACTTTAAATTGTATTTTATACATTTCCTTCTTCCTTCTTTTTGCTTTTCCGTTCATTCCGCCTTCCACACCCATATTTCTCATCTTTCTCTTCCTTTTAATTACTTCCCCTCCTTATTTCTCTTTCCTTCCATCATTTTCTTTCATTTCTTCCTTTTTCTCATCTTCTCTTTTCTTCACTTTCCCTTTTCTTTCATTCAAGCTTCTCATCCTCTCATCTATTTTCTCACATTCTTTTTCCTCATACATTCCTTCCTTTAGTTTTATCTCCTTAAATTTAGCTCATTTTCTTTCTTCCTTTAATTTTAATCTTGTTAGTTTATTTCTTTTACAATTTACAAGTTTGTTTCAATTAAATTGATATCAATTTTATTTTTTGCAGGATTTAATAATAGAAATTAAAAGCATTTTAAGGAGGCATCTCATTTGGTACTTTTTTTTACTGTTTATATTTCATTAAAATTTTATAATTTTTTCTTTTTCAAAGTTTCCGATTTAGTTTGTAATTTGTGATTAACTATTTTTTGGTGTTAAGGGATAGAGAAACTTTAAAAAAAAAAAAAGGTTAGTAATTAACTCTCCACCATTTAGCATAAATTTAAATATTTTTATAGAATTTTGATTTTTGTTGTATAATATTCAACTTAAAATTTTGATATATTTGAATTTGGATAAAATAAATAGATTCTTATTTATTAATTAAACGTATAGAGAAATAAAAAAAAAAAAAAAAAAGGTTAGTAATCAACTCTCCACCATTTAGCATAAATTTAAATATTTTTATAGAATTTTGATTTTTTTGACATAATATTC